CCGCCTGGAAACCGCATGTGAAAAAGAGCAGCAGCAAGGAAGAGAGAAAAAAAAAAAAAGGAGGGAAAAAAAAAAGGGGGGGGGTTTGGATTGGACCCCCCCGCCCCGGTGCGGGAGGAAGGACCCGCGGCCGGAGGGCGAGGAGCTGCGGCGGCCGGCGAGGGAAGGGACCGGGGCTGCGTGACCCCCGCGGCGCGGGGGGAGAGGCGAGGAAGAGACGTTTCCCGATCCTCCCCGCCGAGGATTTGGGGAGGTTTCCGCGCCTGGAGCCCGTGCCTTTGGATCTAAAGAGGATTATTATTTTTTTGGGGGTGGCACTGAAGCTGGATTTGTTCCTGTGCGTGCGGCGCGGGGGGGGGCATTTGTGCTGCCTCTAGAGGAGCCGGCGGCCCGGCCGGGGCGCGGAGATCCCCGCGGATCGCTCCGCACCCCCCGGGAAAGGTGCGCCGAGGGGATCGGCGGGGGGCGGGGGAGGAGAGGCAGCTGCAGCTGCCGGGGAGGAGGCCCGGCGGAGCGGCAGCAAAGTCATCGCTATCGGCCCCCCCTCGGCTGGCTCCGGGCTCGGCGCTCTCCATGTCTCTGGCTCTGGGCAGCGGCCGCCACAGCAGCGAGTAGGGGGGGAGGAGGAGGAGGAGGAGGAGGAAGAAGAAGGGAGCCCGGGAGTGCCTCCCTCCCTCCCTCCCTCCCCCCGGCAGCCCCGGCCGCCTCCCGTCCCCTCGCCCCGCGTCCCTGCCTTCCCCTCCCCAAGATGGGCTGTTTAGGGAACAGCAAGACGGAGGATCAGCGCAACGAGGAGAAGGCGCAGCGGGAGGCCAACAAGAAGATCGAGAAGCAGCTGCAGAAGGACAAGCAGGTCTATAGGGCCACGCACCGGCTCCTCCTGCTGGGTAAGGGGCCGCGGGCAGCGGGGCCGGGGGCCGTGCCCTCCCCGCCGGGGCGCCGGCCCCAGCCCGGGCACGGGGAGGCCGGGGCAGAGGTGGGGCCCACCCGGGGCCGCGGGGATCCGCTACAGCGCCCGGGGCGGCGGGGCCGGGGGCGCCCGGGGAGCGGCGGGGAGGGCTCGGGCACCACCCGGGGCGCCGCGGGAGGGGCCGGGGCAGGTACGGGAGCGGCGGCCCCGGCGGGGCGGGCAGCGGGGCCTCGGGCGGGCGCGGGCAGGGGGCCGGGGATGCCGCGGCGAGGGGCCCGCGGGGAGCCCGGGAGATAAACAGGGCAGGGCAGTGACAGCGGCCGCGGGCGAGCGGAGCGCGGCAGGGCCGGACACCGCTCCCCTTTTCGCCGCGGCTCGGGGTGCCGAGGGACGTGCGGCCAGGCCGGGGAGAGGAGGAGGAAGAGGAAGGGAGGAAGTCGGGGAATCGTTTGGGGGAAACGGAGGGAGGATGTCTGTCCCGGAGGGAAGCGCGGCCGCGCTGGGGCCGGGCAGCGGCGCAGGGCCGGGCGGGCACAGCCCCGGCCCCGCAGGGCTCGTCCCCCCGCGCTGTCGCACCAGGAATTGAGGTACCGCGCTTGGAGCGCCGGCACAGCCCGGCTCCAGGTGCGATTCCAGCCGCTCCTCTGCGTTACCTGCCCGTGTTTTTTTTTTTCCACGCGATATATTTAGAAACGCAGGTTGTGGCTTCCCAAGGAAAGGAAAGATCCAAAAATCGCTATAAGGGGGAGCAAGGAAATGTTTTGTCGGGCTCGTTATTTCAGCGTATTTTGGAGTAGTGTTTTAAGCTCGGATGCAGTTACGAGCCGTGGGTTGTTTTGGTCACGCCGAGGGACCGCCTGTGCACGTTCTGCAGGGCTGTAGCGTGGAGCACAGGGTAGGCCTCGCCGAGCTGACTCAGTTCTGGGGTGAAAAAACCTTCGTTGAAGGGGAAAAAAAAAAAAATTTTTTTTTTTTTTGAAGGCTGTGAATTTGGAAGTATACTTTCACCAGTAACATCTTTCAAATAGTCATTTGAAGAAAGAGACTTAACATAAATGGAGAGAGACTGGGGCTACAGCAGCACCTGCAGCACTGAGGAGCCTGCCAGGGCTCCAGCAGAAGTCTTTTAACGGGATAATTTTGACTTCAGCTCTCGGGGAATGTCTCGGACTTCCAGATTTCAGGCTGAACGTTATGTAGATATGTAGAAACCATTTGTCATCAGATGGGTTGCTTTCGTATAGAGGCAAAATTTCAGCAAACAGAAACATGATGGGCTTGCCTGGATTTTCTTCCTGGTTTTTTTTTTTGGTAGGGATTTTTTTTGTTTGGATTTTTTTTTATTTATTTATTTTCGGTTTTGGTGGCTGAAAAATAATTTAGATACTTCTAAATAAAAATTTGTGTGTGTTTAGTAATGGCAGTAAGGTCATCTGTGTGTGTATGTTTTAAAGTGGTAGTTCAGCTGTTACAGTTTCTGTCATGAATTGTGGATAGTCTGTAACACAGACTCACTAGTAAAAAAATAAATATAACAGTTCCCGTCTCTATTATTATGTTATGTTTCCTTTATAAGACACATGAAATAGAATGCCAAGCGCTTTGAAAGTATTCTTAATCTTTTCAAATCATATTCAAGTAGCAACAAAGAAGAGCTGCTGAATATTCTAGCGGGTTTATGCTGCTCCTTGTAGGCCCCACCGCTGTACACGTGCTTGTCCCGCTGCCACGAGCAGTCTCACTGAAATTAATGGAACTCTCCTTGGTGGTGAAGTTAAATGTGTGTGTAATTGTTGGTAAGAATATGGCCTTAACGAGCAGCCAAATATAGAAATAGACTTATGTAGATGTAATACTTCGTTTTGGTTCCCTGGTGTTGTATCTGATCCAGAGAACCCAGGTGTGTCAATACCAAACCGTATGTGTTTATAGCAAATGCAACAACTATCCAGCCCTGTTCTTGGCCTAAGTGAAGTAAAGATTTTGGCTCCCAGTGCTTATAAATATGTGATTTAGAGTTACAGCTGAAATTTAGTTGTTAATTATTTTTTAAATGGAAATATGACTATAGGAAATACTGCTGTTCCTGGATAATTCTTAGTTGTGAAGACGACCCAGTCTCTCTATCTTAACTCGAGATACTAATTCTTGATCAGTTTTGCCACCTGTGTTTATTGCCTGGTGCAGTCTGTCTGAAGAGACAGAAGGTGTATGTTACAGAATAGTAGTTTAGGGGAGAAGTGGCACTTGCATAAAGAGTTGTAGATAAAAACTCTCTAAATGCTTAGAAAACATCAGTGAGCAAGGAGAGGAAAAAGGAGTAAGGCTCTGGTATTAAAGTGGCAAAACATGCAAGCAGGTTTTATGGAGAGCAGAGCAGGACTGTTGGGAATTCACGGGGGAGAAGGAAAGGGAGGGAGAAAGCAGAGGGGGAAACGTGTTTGTCAGAAAATGAACTTTGAAATATAACTGCTAAAATACAGTTTTGAACATGAGGCTCAAAATGGAGGCTTGTGCTGTCAGTGTGTGCTAGCAGAGGCCTGACATCCTATAAATACAAACTGTACCTCCCTGCCCGTTCTGCCACAGATGTACGGTTCCTGTTGTTGAGACACAGGCTAATGAGAGGAGTAAAGGGGTAGCCAGGAGATGCTAAGGGGAAATCTTTCTAAATTTTGCCAGGTTGTGCTACTACTCTTGCAAAAACTGTGTTTGCTTTATATAGAAAGCTGCCGATCTGGCAGCGTGGAGCAGCTCAATTAAATGCTGCTGTTGGAGTTGTTCAGCGTGCCTGGAAAAACGGGTACTATAGGCAGATGGGCTGCCCTGTGCACTGGCATCCGAGCAGCTCAGCAGAAATAGCATCCATCCACTTGTGGAAACTGGAGTAAAGTGGAGTGGGGGTTTCTGTACTGCAGGTATATGGGGGAAGCAGGGGAGAGCTGCGGGGGGGGGCTCTTTGGAGCAGGCAGCCACAGAAGGTGGTCTTTGCGTCTCATTGTGCTTATAGGGCTGATTTTGGAACATGTAGAGAGGGTGGGAGGTTGCTTACAAGACACAAGTAGGAGAAGGAGGTTTTTGTAGCATTGTGGGTGGAGGCTTAAAGGGATGCCTTCCTTTTTCAGATGCGAGTATCCACGTATTTTACTTCTTGTGATTTAAGTTACGGTCTTTGACTGGGTGATGATAAACCGCAGCCAAACTTAAAATACTTTAAGGATCTAACAAAAATGCTTTGGTTTAATAGGGACTTCAGTCAGTCTTTCCCTCTGTCAGATAGTAGTGACAAGGCAACTAGGTTGTGACGTACCCTGTTTTCTTCTCTATAAAATGTTGAAGTTGTCCTTTTTCTTTCCAAATACTGCAGTCTGCTTTTAACGTTGACACTGGAAAAATGGACAGTGAAATGATCCAAGATTCAGATCTGACACATGACTTGAGCTGGGCATTTATTTTTAGCTACAACTGAAGTTTCCAGTGGCAATTATTTCTTTCACTTTTCACTCTTGCACTGAGAAAACCAACTTTCTCGATTTTACCCTGAAGAAAAAAATTTTAGTGTGTCCCTTAATCACTCATGCTTCCTTCTGAAATTGATTTACTTTCATTTTCTAGGTGCTGGTGAATCCGGTAAAAGCACAATAGTCAAACAGATGAGGATCTTGCACGTGAATGGATTTAATGCTGAGTAAGTGCATTTGCTTTTTCACTTCACAATGTACCTTCCGCCTGTGCACTGCCCAGAGTCAGTGCTGCTGCTTTATAGCTTGGTGTGTTTTCTTCTTGCTGCTGTTTCACTGTCTCTAGAATTTGGATGTACATTTTTAAATTAGATTAATAGGCATTCAGTTGAAGAAGTCAAGCACCGATCATTAGTGAGATCCAGCAGTATAAAATTACTTATATCAAAGGCGTAGCTTAAGTTTTGTGTGTTTAACTGCAGTTTCTTTCACAACATGGCTGACACTGATTTACCTCAGCTATAGCACATTGATCCATATTGCTGAAAACATGCCTTGTGTCAGTGTACAAAATAAGTGCAATTTTCTTTATTTAGAATAAGTAAGGCTTTAGTTTCTGTGTCCTCACGAAATGAAACCCTACTATGAATTTTGGGGATTCTGTTGTACTTGCTTGTCCAGATGTTTATGTTAAATTATGTTTCTAAAAACTTTTATTTTTTACACTTCGTATCTGTTCAGTTATTTGATAGTTGTGAGGAGAAGAATGGCATTAAGATAGGAAAAATGGATTATCAGTTTTTTTCATCTGAGAAGGATTTGTGTTTGCTAACTTTTTGTCTAACCTTGCTAGACAGTAAGAAGAGATTCTTCTGCATGTTAGTTTATACCTGCAAGCATCTGTGTGTGTATTCCCAAACCTGCTAAATTAATTCTAATTGAATGAAAGTGTTGAAATTTCAAAGCTTATTCTCTGTGTTTAATTTTAATTTTTTAATTTTTTTTTAATAGATTATATTTCTGGTTTTGTCTTGCTTGTTGTCAAGCATAGCAGTTTTGTATTGTCATCCTCCAGCTTTTAGTGGTATCATCTATTTTGTTAATCCTGCCTTTTTGGGAAGATAAAGCCTTCACTAGTCTTCCAGTAGTTAATTATTGAGTAAGAATGTCTGAGCTAAAAGTTTAGCCGAGGAGCCTGGACAGTACTTCTTCCTAATCACCAAATGCTGATTCGGGATAAGGTACATGGTCTTTTGAATGAAAGTTCAGACTGATTCATAATATATATTACATTCTGTGCTACATGTTTTAAGCTCCTCTTTGTAGGGAATATTTTCTTTTTCCCAAATAACTTTTCCATAAGTGCCTAGTCCTGCATCCTGTTACTGCTGAGTTATCTCCATCATTTTGTCTGCTCTTGTTATTAAAGACCTCTTAAAAGACCTGTGTGACTTAAAAGATTTGCATGAGTTGACTTGGATGTAGCAGCTCTCAACACTGGGTACTAAGTAAAAAGTAAATGAAAGTGCAAGTGGAGGATCCCTGGTGTGTTTGAAAACATCAGTCCCTTTAACCAACACAGTTCTAAGTTCTCGAAGCACACGGGTGCTCTTAAAGAGATAATGGTGCTGGGTAATGAATGGTGTGTTACATGGGTAGATAACCTTCTGAACCCTGCAAGCTGCAAGCCCAAATTTTTGTGAATCTGGGAGCCCAGAGACCCTCAGACAAAGCCTGCAGAGCCGGAGAGGGGCTGGGACACGCTGGGATTCGCAGCACTGGTGCGTTCCTCGAGTGTCTCGCCGTGCGTGGTGGGTTTGGGCAGAGCTGAGCGTGCAGCTGGAATCCAGGGCAACATGGCAAATTTGGCCTCAGGAGGCTCTGCTGGCTTCTGCCTTCTCATAGCAAGGGATTTGGATTACGGAGCAGCCCTGTGCCAGCACAGCCCTGCTGCCAATCACAGAGCGGATCCCGGTGCGGGAGCCACGCAGGAATTGCAGGGAAGGTCCCTCCAGCTCAGGAATCATGGACTGTCCACCCACCCAAGGCATTTGGTCTTGCAAAGTGACTCACTCTTGCAAGTGAGTCCTTTGTGCTTGTCCTTTTGTGGGTCCTACGTATTGGAATGCCGAGGTGCATAAAAAATCAAATAAAGAAGTGGTGTATTTAAAATGTACAAGAATTAAGTTATGATACATCATTTTAGGTTTCTATTGCCAAAAGCAATCAGTAGATCATAACATACACTTTACAGGGGGAAAAAGGCTCTTTTCCAGTGTTCTAAGATGTACAAGAAATAAGTTATAATGCATCATTTTAGGTTTCTATTGCCAAAACCAATCAGAAGATCATAACATACACTTTACAGGGGAGAGAAGGCTGTTTTCCAGTCTTTTGAAATTCTTGCAAGTTACACACATGTCCTTAAGTAACTTGTATTTTCTTCCAAGTAACTGACTGCTCCCTATGTTGGCCTGCTTTCCCTGTTACCCGTTTTGTTGGATTCATTCCCTTTTTATCCTGCTTACCTTGTGGAAAAATGATGTGGGATTCAGTTAATGAGAGAGATAGCATGGAGTTTTTTTGGAAGGGTAGGAAAAGTAAAGCGTTACTTCTCTTGATGTCCTGATCAGTCTTTCTGGAGCATAAATATGTTTGCGTACAACACCACAGCTGATGCCATGACTAACAGCAGAGTGCTGGTGAAAACTGTGCTGTGCTGGAGATGAGGAGACTTTTTTTAATGTTGGTGTAATGGACATAACTGTAGTTTTGAATTATTCCTGTTGGAGAAGCTTATTGGTGTGCTGGGAGAAATCCAGTTTAAAGTCCTGTCTAAAACTTGTTTGCCTTTGGTTTGGTTGTCCCGTGACAATTGTTGTCAGTGGCAGAAAGAGGGTATCTGTTGGGAAAAATGTCTAGTGTGCTACTAACAAAGGAATCAGAAGTTTTTTTTATTTAGTGTTACTCAAAAGAAGTGTTACTTCTTTCAGGTGACTGGGCAGGATACCCAGTGCTAAAAATGCTGGCCTACTTCAGTGGGTGTGAGGGGATTTTATTTATTTTGGTTTTAGGATTCTGCCCCTAAGTAGTTGAAGGGACAGTTGTTGTGTGCATTTAGGTGAATTGTTGTAGCTTTAACAAGGTGAAATCTATGTAGTCTACAAAACTAGAAGAATTTCCTCTGGGACTCCAATCGTCAATCCCTTTAGCTAATTAATTATTTGAGGAACTGTATGGAATCAAGTGTTCCAGGTAATTAATGTGCTGAATAGTTAAAGCTAAATTGAATGTGAAGGTGGTTAAAGTTCTAGGCAAGTTAACTACAGCAAAGACTGTTCAATTTTTTTCTGTGTTCCTTTCATGATCTGTAGTTGAGTTAGAGACAGAAATGTATTTCTTTTTTTTTCTATCCCTGTTGTGAAGGTGGTGTGTGGGAAGCAGAGTAAGAATATTGGAGGGGCAAGGCACGCTCTGCAGCACAGCCTTCTCTGGATGGAGTGTTTTGGAAGGGCTTAGCCCCCTTCCAGCTCCTGCAGAGTGGCTGTGCTATCCTCCGACCTCTTCCTACAGCAATTCCATAAACAGTGGGAGTGTGGCTTCCCCCCTATATTCTTCCAGTGTTCCTCATCTTTAACGTGGAAGAGCTGCCTTTTAAGCATAATGACGACGCCGTATCAACCAAATTTTCTACTCTTTGCACGACAGCCAACAACAGAGGCCCTTCTCATGTAGAAAGGGTTTAAATTTGGCTTTTAATAGCAGGAAGCCTGTGACTTCCCTTCCTTTCCTTTCCTCCCTCCTCTACACTTCAGCTGTCTTTTCATGAGGCTGTTCCAGAGGATTAGGTCTCTGCAATTGCCTACAGTGTTTTGTGAGTGTCCACGGATAAAATGGAGCTAAACCCCTCTCTTTTTGGCTGTTCAGATGGCAATCTTTATGAACAGGAAAGGACTGAAAACGGGAAAGGGAGGACAGGAATAGTAAGGAATATAGTTGGAAGAATTAAATGTGTTGCTCAGGCTGAAGAGGAAAAAACACAGAAAAGAGTTGGTATCTCGAGGAAGGGCTTCTCTGCTTCTACGATGGCCTTTCACTTACTTTCAATTTTTTTAAGTCATCTTTCCCCTCAGTGATTACTGTGGCTTTGGCTGACAGACTCTAAGAAGAGGGTCATTGTCATGCACGACTTTAGAAAGCGGGAATTGGCACAGCCGATAGACAATTCTGAAGTGTCATGGGAAAAACTGGGACAAGCAGAAGTACTTAAATAGAAATAAATGGTTGAAATGTGACTTACGAAATCCACTACAAAGATTGACAAATATGGGGAATGTGCCTTTGTGATTAGTAAGTTTGGATAATATTTAGGATTCAGGAAGTCTCGAGGTTACAGGGAATTTCAGGTAATGCTTCTCAGCCTCAATTTCCCAAACAAGGTTGTATATATAATGTTGACACTTTCTTAAACAAGTATGTTGAAATGTTGAATAGGAGTTTGTATATTTATCAAATCTGAAGGCATGATTGATGAAGGCAGAAGCAGAGATGAATAGCTTTATTTTCAGGACTTAGATGATAAGTATATTTGCATTTCTCTTGTGCTTTTAAAAATTACTTTCTCTTGGTGGGAAGTTATAAAGCCAAGTCACCTTCTTACAGGCTTCGAACATTTTCTCTTTTCTCACCTAGATTTAGTAGTTTGTGAGGAAGGAAAAGTAGTCATTGATGGTTTCTAATCTTTTCCTCGTACATATTGAACTGCCATCATTATTTCACACAAACCAGTAAATGATATTATATGGACACTTGGGCAGGGTTAGTCTCTCTCATGACTGAAAAGACTTTGGGTTTGGTAACTTTTCTGTTGTCTAATACGGGTATTTGTCTCTCTTTGGTCTTTCTATGCCTGTGATTTTATGGAAGGGAAGTTAATGTTATGAGTGAGGAAAAAGTATAATATTTATAACTAAGTCTTCTAAAATAATGAATTCCCTCCTAATGGCTCAGATTAGTTCATGTACACAAGCGTTATGGCTCCATTTTTACAGTTTCTTTACATTTGTGGACCAATCCCCTATTTCTAGAATGGTCCCATCAGTTCCTTGCCAAGAAACAAACAGACCTTATTGTGTTTTACTTGACTGGCAACAAAAGTAATTTTTTCCTGGTGTTTGACTAACATTGAAAATTGGAGTGGGGGGAGGTTTGGGGGGTGTGATTTCCCTCCC